GATACAATTGAAAAGTCTGAATAGTTATTTCATATATTAAACTTCATTATATGCTAACATTCTGTATCATATTCAGTTATATGACTGATTTGTTTATTTATTGAATATTATAAAATCATTATTATTATTTAGAGAAGATACAAATTATATTAACAATGTTTTGAATCTGTGATATTTAAATTATTAGTCAATCTATTCAAAATTAACAGTAGTATTATTAAAAAGTGTTATCAAAAAGCATTATCAAAAAGTATTATTAAAAAGCAATATTAAAAAGTGTTAATAAAAAAACATTCTCTTTTACAGAGTAAATGTAAAAGTTACTTAAGTAATCACTTTCATCTCATTCTCATTCTAAGAATTAGTCATCTCATTATTCTTTATCTTGATATTAAGATTCTTTATCAGTGTTTATATCACAAGTTGAATCATATGAGTAATGCAGAGAATATGATCTTATTTATCATTTCAGAAATGCAAAGCTAATTTTTACTCTAAGCTCTTCATCATAGTGTAGTTATTCACAGTGTTATCAGTTATAATTATAAGAAGACTGAGACTAATATCTTAATAATCATTTTTAATCACAGTTATTAATATCTCTGTTATATAATTCTCAGTATGACTACTGATCAATGATTTAAATTCAATTAATGTCTCTTAATAAGTTCAGTTCTCATCAATGTAATAATATATAACTGTTATAAATGCAAGATTGTTTGTACTAGTTCATGTATTCACTGTAAGAGACACTCTTCAATGATTCTTCAACTCTGATTCTAGATATTATATATTAACTTTATAGTGTGTCTCAATATTGAATCAAAGACATGATCAATGTGAAATATGAAGATTTGAATTAAGCATTTAAAGAAGTGTTCAGAATTCAGAGTTTTCAATTGATTAAAGAGAAAGATTCAGAGATATACACATGTGAAGTAATTATTCACAGAAGTTATTAGATGAGAGTTGCGAAATCAGAGTACTGATATATAATTATTTTCACATGATTTTCTTCAAATTAGAAAGTTAGTGTTATCAAAAATTATTATCTGATAGAGTAACTTATCAGCTTAGTAGTAATTTTCTAATTATTTTTCTTTTATTATCTGCATTCTGATAACTTCAGATGTCAGAAAATTCTGCCAAAGCTATAATCAGTTTATAATAAATATTTCTGAATAAAGTTATAGTGATTATAGTAGAGAAATGACTCTTCAGTAATCTGTAATACAATCTGTTGATAATTATTTTATAGTTCATCTCAGTATTTGTGTTGAGTTTTAAATAAATTTCATGACCTGAAATCAGATGTGAAGAATGAAGTGATTATTTATTATAATTAAAAGAGAGTATTCTGTATTGAATTATAAATAATATAGACTTTGTAATTCACAGTGATTTCTTAAAGAGTTTATAAATCTTTAATAGAAGTGAAAGAAGTGAAAGAAGTGAATTCAGAAGATATAATAAAGATTTAAGAAAGATAATAATTTATTTTCAATAAAGATAATAACTGATCACTGATATATATAAGAAGAATTATTATAAGAGAAAATAATTATCTTTCTTAACTTAGTTATATTTTTAGTACTAACTCAGATTGAATATTATCAATATATAAAAGTAAATAAACAATCTTGATTAATCTCTGTCATATTTCTTGAAATATATTAATATTGTGAAAGAGAGTATTATTAAATTATATTATCAGATAATATTATTAAAAATATATTAATATTATAAATATCAATATTGAAAAAATATTGATATATATATATTATAGTGATTTGTAAATCATGATAGTTAAATATATATATATATATTATTTCTGATATTAATAATTGATTACAACTTGTATAATAATTTTTGAAAACTTAAAATTAATTTCAATTATTAACTAATAGTTATCAACTTATAACTAATTAATATAAAAAGAAAAAAACTTTTTCTACTTATTATCTTTCTTCTCTTTCTCATTCTTCTTATTATTCTTTACAATTCACTTCTGATTCTTATTCTTCTTCTTCTTCTTCTCATCTGAGATGATAATCATCTTAAAATCTCTCTCTACTGCTTTCTCAGAGAAGGGTTTCTACTGCTTCCTCTCAGCTAGATCAATCTATATCTTAAAATCTCACATTTTCTGATCTACTGTCTCAGGTTTCATCTCAGCAGTAAGCAGATTGATATACTCAGAGAGCAGAACTGTCTTCTCAATGTTCTGAATCATGAAGTGCATTTGAGATCTGAATAAGATCATAATTCTCTTCTTCTCTGTCAGCTTCTGCTAATCAATTAGAGAATAGAAGTATTATCAAAACTTGTTATCTCTTAATAAAAAACTTATCAGTTTTAACTTCTTTGTCTCTCACTTTAACACTCTCTCAATCTTCTTCTACTATTACTTATTTACAGTAATACTCTTCTTCTCTCTCTCTCTCTTTATCTTAGTCTCAAATTATTCTCAGAACTTCTTCTGATCTTATTACTACTGTATGAGACTCTTCACTATCTTCTTTTTCAATCTCTCACAGACAGTGTCATCTGTATTATTTCTATACTTAGTTCAGTCTAAATCTATCAGAAGTATTACTTAAAATTATTATCATTCTACTCTCTTACAGAGTCTCTTCAAGGTATTATAACATGTCTTATAATCTGTCTTCTCTCACTTAAACATCTTCTTCTTCTCTCTCTTCAACCTGTGACAGTACTCATATGCCTTGATAATTCACAGAATCATAGAATATTTGAAGAAGAATGACATAATTAATTTTAATAAGTATTGAAGAGAAGTGAAGACAGAGAAGACAGCTAGCAATAATATAATAATGATAATGATAATGATAATGATGATAATAATAGTAATAGTGATGATAATAATAGTAATAATAATAATAATAATAATAATAATAATAAAAGAGAGAGTGTATTAAAATATATTATTAACTTATCAAATATAAAGAGACTTAAAGAAAATATTAACAGCTTTCAGAGATGTACAGAAACAGCTACAGTATTATATAGCAATATTATCTTTATTCAATGCATGCACTATTGATATTCTTTATATACAGTTATTATATAATCTATATCAGAGATATATGCAGAAAACAGATCTTTATTACTAGAGAGAATGATTACAGTAATTCTCTATTTTCATATTATAAAGATAAGTTATTCTCATTTCTTTCTTCTTTTTTTTCTCTTCTTCTTCAACTCATCACTAATTTCAAGCTGATATGAAAACTATTAAAATACTCTTAGAAATCCTCAAATTGAAGAGTATAGACTAATTAAATTTCAAATGCAGAAGAATTAAATTATATTCAATAATACTAATTATTCATTCTCTCTTAATAAAATAACAGTTACATCTTTCTTTCCTCTCTTCAAATAAAACATAATCTGTAAAAAGTAAGTATCATGTCAGATCATAATAATCAATACAGTCTCAGTATACAGAGCTGTATACATACAGTATGTACTGAACTGAGAGACTGTATGAGTTGTAAACTAATGATAGTATCTCAAGAAGAGTCATGCAGTGTAAGATAGCTATAACTCTTAGTTATATATATAGAGAATAAATCACTACAGTAAGTGCATATATATTATATAAAAGTAATACTTTTTAATAATACTCAGTCTCTGATATTATGAAAATAGAGTCTCTTTGTAAGATCTGTTTTTATCAGAAGTTGAGAAATCTTATATTTCTCAAGATTATCTTCATATATCTTATTCATGAAATCAATGAAGAGAATTATTAATTTCAGTGTTCTACTCTTAATATTATTTAAGTGATAGCAGAGTTCACTCTGATCATACTTTTTAAGTGTATATTTTCTAATTATTCACATTTATACAGATATATACTAATTATTTATTAAATAATATTCAGATAATAACTTATTACAGCTGTATTACTCTTACTATAAAAGATATATAGTTAATAATAAATATTACAAAGACTCTGAGAAGTAAGTATTTTAAAAGTACTGTAGTTCTACTATCTTAATTTTTATTGTTTTTTTTTATTTTTTTATTTTTTGATTTTTTATTGTGATTTTTTCTTGTTTTTGTTTTATTTTTTATTTTTTTGTTGTTTTTTTATATTTTATATTTTTTTTATAATTAAAATTATATAAATTATAATCTGTGTTTAGAAAAGTAATAATATTTAATAATACTCTCTATTGAATTTTCAATAAATAAGTACTATGTTATGATATTATGTAAGTAAGAAATGATTTTATAATCTTATTTAATATCATTCTCAATAATGAGATCAGAATGAAAATGTGATTAAGAATTTAAATATATTCTTTATCTGAGACTAGATTTTTATTTAAAAAGTGAATCTGAGATCTTTAATATTTGAAATAACATGATTTGAAATTAATGTAATGAATACAAATCATGATCAGAAGTAATGCTTTTAGGCAATGTGACAACTGTAAAGTTTGGTCCTGGTCCCAGACACGGTCACACGGTCAGTCTAGCCGTTACAGCCGTTGCGGCTATTGGCTGTGGCGATCTCCCTAGATCATGTGACCCACCACTATATTAAGCTCTTTGTAGATAGATCTATCAATACAACCTTCAACTATTCTACAGGTTATGAGACTGTTAAGCGTGAGCCCCGCTGTGGTCAACATGCATGGGTTCGATCCCAGAATGGACTTCAAAAAATCCCAAACAAATACCCTGGACATTTAAAACAGTGCCAAGAGACATCCTAGGAGTGTGCCCTAGGAGTAAGCCCTTGAAAGAATGAGCCCTAGGAGTGAGTTCACTGAGAGGAGCCACTGAGAGGAGCCACTGAGAGGAGTACTGTACTCTGTGGTAGCTGGTCCGAGGGGGGGTGTTGGGGGTCCCGGGTTGATCGGCCCTTCTACCAGCAGTGCGCTGGTGGTGACTGACCTCTTTTGCCCCAGTAGCCTACAGAATACTGTCCTGTTCCTGTGCAAACGCTCCTCCACCCGCAATAAGAATCATGCGTCACGCACGGGTAGCCGAACATGCAGCCCCAGACATTGGGTGGCATCCCATGGACATGGCCAGTTATCCGGAGATCCCTGGACGGCATGGCCCTTCCACTTATTCGTGCACTCATTGCGATCGATGCAGATGCAGTCTGGGCGCGAGCCCCATTCGGATCTCGCATCGCAGCGGCCGTTTATGGCCAGGATCGGCGTTACGAGGAGAGAGGAGAGGGATAGGGGGGTGAGTTTCATATTGATGTTACGATGGTTGGATCTCTATGTCGGTATTACAGATGTATACGGAAATAGGGGGTTGGAACAGACACCGGATAAAAGGTCCTGACGAATAGGCTGCGCTGCGAAAGAAACTATCTTCTAAATTCAAATAAGAATGACCGTATGCGGGGGATTTCAACTGTTTAAATAAATCTCAAGCTACATACAGACCGCCAGCTCGTATTCTTCATTGTGCCCTCTCAGCTTGCTCGAGCATCCGCCAGCCCGTAGGAGCAGAGCCTCAACATGCCCCGAAAATTTTCACCTATCACTGGCTCATCAGGCTCCTGCGAAGATCCTTTCCCTCAGCTCCACTAAGCTCTTGGCCGGGACAGTGGGAGCCACTGATAATGACATGCCCCAAGAATACGCTAAGTTTTTTCAAGGAATTGCGGTACTGCATGGGCTTCGCTGAGCCTGCACTATTCCTTTCAGAAGATAGTATGTTTTTTTAAGGGAGGTCATGCTTTGGTATCCCACTTACAGCCCCAGATCCTGGCAGGGAGGATCAAGAAAGAGCTTCTACCGGTTATCCTGTCTGTCTGAAGGTGTTCTGAAAGGAGCGGGCAAAGGTGGTTGGTGACCGGAGTGCCTGGAAAGATTTGGTAGAAAGCTTTACAGAGTATACTCCATGATGCTGTCTAACAGCCATAGTATACATTAATGACAGAAAATATACCCTGCAGGTAACAGAGAAAAAGGAAACAAGGAAAACACAGCGAAATGGCCCGTCATTGAATAAAACAAACCCCTAATCCTCCATGAAGCGAGCGGACCAATGTTTTGAAGAACACATATCGCTAGAACATAAACTCCCAACGACCAAATGGGAAACATAACATAACAACCTTGGAAACGTCCCAAATCTCTAAATCATTTACTCGAAAATCGCCGTCTCATACAACTTCTTATCCCCATATTCATCTGTCACCCTATACAGACGCTTGGTGTGTTCGCTGCTCGAGCGACTCACAGAAAAGCCCCCCACGTATTTCCCGGGAGGATCCTGAATCTTGCCCGCAGCACTATACGCCTCGATGGTCGCTCGCACGGGGTGAAATTCCGACTTAAGCATGGACGGGAACAAACACAAGCCGGTTGCCTTTGTCCTTTCCTCGATGTTGTCAATGCAGATGAGATACCGAAGCCCGCGCTTCCGGTGGTAGTGCTTGAATTCACGGACATCGTCTGGAAGCAGTGGGAAGGTCTTCGCGGCCGGCATGGCGTCCCATAGGTAAGGTAATGGGATTATAGCGCTAACTTGGTTCCAACCCGGGTGCAGACTATACTTGGTTGTTCTAACTGGGCTGTTGAAGGTGAATGGGCTGACGAGGTTTTCTTTTGTGTGCCATTGCATCAGGGGCTTGGAGCCGGGGTAGCCGCTGATGAGGAAGTAGAGGTGCTCCTTCTCTTTGAGCTTAACTTCGATTTCCTTGGCTGTGGGCAAGACGGTGCGGACGAAATTGGAGAAGGATATGGATTTTGGGGGATCCAAGTCGGCGGAATCTCCGTCTGTATTAGGGTGGGGTTTGGAGACAGCTCTGGGAATTACATCCGCGAAAATTCCTTCTTTCTTCTTCTCCGGCTCCTGCTTTGACGCCTTGTGCTTCATTTGGGTGTCTTCGAACATATATACTTCTTTCGGAATATCACTTGGCGCCAAATACTTTCTGGCCATATCATCCTTTGTGAGGCCGAGTTCCTCGAACAACTTTTCCGCCACAACGATATTACCCGCTTTAGGGGGTTTCTGTGGACGCAGATAAATTTTCGGATCGCAAAGTACTCTCCACTGGCGGTCCAGTTCTTTGAAATCCAGGCCCTCCTTAACGCCTTCTAGAAGCTTAGAAAGCGCACCCGAGCGCAATTGATTCAAACATCCAATGAAAGCAGACGCTGCGACATGGGTCTGCATGTTATGTCGCTTTGTTCCGGGAGAAGCTTGAGAGAATAGCAGGTCTCCATGTGACTTCCGCACCTCAAGAAGCCACCCAATGGCCCCCTTATGAGCATCAGCATATGGAAGGCGGTTCTCGAGTAACATACCTGCCACTTTACGAACAGTTTCCATGTCGTAATCTTCCAGGATACGCTGTAACATTTCCCTCTGCTCGTCCGTGGATGGCAGCGTGCGCGCCATAGCTGGGGTAACCACCCGCCGATTAGATGGGATATCAAATGCCATGTGCGAGAAGTCTCCCTTCTCCTTGGATCCCAAGTAGGGGCGTCTATCGCCGGTGATTCTATATTCTTTCCCCACAGTTCCATCTTCAAAGAGCTTGCAGATGGCGCTGACGGGGGCTCGGAAGATGACCGAGAGAGACTTGTCCTCTTCCCAGAATAGCGGGACGAGCTTCCCCGTTGAGTCATCGACGATGCAAAGGTCCCCGTAGCGATTCATGAAGTGGGCACACGTATTGCATCTGAATTCCTGGCGGTACTCGGGCGGGAAAGCATATTCGAAGACTGTGTTCATTTTGATTGTAGAGTTTTTCATGTTGACATGGAAAACGGGGGCAGCTGGGCGGGATTTCAAAACATCGGCTGCGCGTTTCGCCATCCGCTGATATAGACGCTTTGGGTCGATGTGGCCCCCCTTAAGCCGCACTTGAAGTTTGTCCTGGCGAGCTGGGAGAGTAGGCCCATCGGTAGGGGTAACATCTACCCATTCATCGTCCATGATTTCAATCGTTTGATATAAGCTTCCCGGTGATAAAAAGTCGCTATATATGCTTTAAACACATAGACACGTAGGTTAAATGGTGAAAGAAGCTCGGTAAAGCGTCGGCTCTGCTAGCGCGGGAGAGCCAGCTTCCTCAGAGGACAGGATAATATGTGAATAGAAATGTAAAACTCTCAGGAAGAAGACATTTCTAACGAGGCATGACTCTCATTTATATATGTAGAGGAAGAAGAGGCAGCAGTTCTTGCTATGACTCTTACTAAGGCTTAGATGACAACAGAACCAACCTTCAGGTCAACATGCGGGCGAGGAAGAGTTAGATAATTCTTGGCCGCATTCTTCCTAAAAATAGCGGCATGACTTGGCCCGATCCTGCCAACGACAGACAATCGAATTAGGGGTGAATTGTCGAACAAGTGCGTAACGCAGTATATGGAAGAGGTATCACCCCATCATTCAAATAGGCATGTAGCGCGATTCTCTGCTCTCTAAGTACGGATCATGATCGAAGATATTTAGAAGAGGAGTTGCCTCAAGAGGCAAAAGATAGTTATGTTGGCGCATATACGCAGGAAAATGCCAAGCAGATGAGTCGCAGTCCCCATCCAACTCCGACCAACCCCGCAATGAGGCGGTACAAATTGCCGGAATAGGAAATATCCCATCAACTTGACACGAGAACAGATTCAAATCTCTGTGCTGAAAAAATAAAAATAAAAATAAAAATAAATAAAATAAAATAAATCTCCTTGAGCTAATTGCCCTAATCACTCCAGCGCCACATAAATCCTCGAAACCTTCTGATCAGCATAATTAAGCGTGACCTTCTCTCCAAGTGACTCCCCGGCAAATTCCTTCAAATTAATCTGACACACCACTTCTGCCTTATACTGCTGTGGTGGGGTGTGTCCACACATGGAATACAGCATCGCTGAAACTCTCGATCTTGATCCCCTTGTACCCTTTACCTGCCAATTCATGCATGAGCCAGTGAGCCAGAATCTTCATCAGTCCCATGCCGTTATAATCCTCGCGCGTGGCAGTCGAGTTGCGCTGGACGATCTTGCCCGGTCCGCTGGGTATTCGGGCATCCGAGTTTTTAGTGTCCAGGCCGTCGATTTGGCCCATGATGAACGGGAGTGATGGGACGATGGAGAAGATGTGCATCATCTTTTCCATGTCCAGAGGGTGGAAGGCGTCGTAGGAGAGGGCGATTGAGACGAGGGGAAAGTCCATTTGTTCGAGGAGGGATGCCTGTGTCGTTGCTTCCCCGTTCGGCATCTGTGGTGGGCTTTTGCCAGTACAATTTCCCACCTGTCTTTGAGGACTCGGGATTCTTGAATTTGTACTCTGTATCGAAGATGCCGTAGGATAGACCGGACTCTTCCTGACGGCGTATCAGGTGGTCAAAGGCGGGGAAGAAATCATGAATGGCCCAAGGTAGGGATTCAGGGTATAGGTTTGGCCAAACAGGGGAGAGAAAGGTGTTGCTGTGGCAGTGTATAGCTTTGGCCCATTCAATGTGCTCTAGGCCCAGGGGGCGGATTTCGAAGGGCGGTGGGAGGGGGGTGGGTTTAGACATGTCTGGGTTTCCCGTTATTCTGTTTTCTGTCTTTTACTTTTGTGACGTTTTCATAGTACTTGGGCGATATGATGGGACTCAGTTAAGAAGAGGGATTCGGTGTAGTCGAGGGAGGCGGACGCTGTAACATATATACCATCACATATCGGCTGGATTAAACATCACTGCATCAAAGTCCGCCCATAAGCACCAGCTGAATGCCATTCAGCTAGTCAAAACTGCCATGAAACGGCTGCCTGCCGTTGTCTCTTTGGCCTGGACACATATCTTCCCCAACCCACGGGACAGGCTTCCCTTGGCGAACAAAAATATACGAGTCAACAAATAGAGAGGAGGGATGACGGGCTTCTCGATAAGTAGAAGTTTAGTCAATTAACCACCACAGAGGGGATAGGGGTAACAATCAATGAATCAGAATAAATTCTGGAAAGAGATGATTTCGTCTTCCCGACCCTAAAATACAAGACCTCTCCTCGGCTAAATTTGTTAAAATGTTTCCGGCTTCCCGTGTATACACTGGTCAACCCACGGAGATATTTCTCGAGAATGAGGTAAGCTCCGGAGCTAAAACTACCTTCCCTGCACAACCGCTTGCAGGTGTTGGTGAATATCACCGCTTTGTAAGGAGTAGATGGCTCATCATGACATGTCGATTTGCAGAATGTGATTAGAAACAACCGGCACTAAAGTCAAAGTCCTCTGGCTTTTGGATATTACCACCCAATGTGTTTACTCAACCTAGGGGCGGGGCGGAGCGGGGCGGAGCGGAGAATATAAACCCATACCCTTATGTCAGAGTCTGCTAGTTGTGAGGGCTGGGAATATCAGTCACGGATAGTCCGCGTGCTATATATGTGGGATGGTTAATCTGTTGTATTCGTGTGGGAAGAGCTAGCTATATATATATTACATATGAGATCACGTGTAGGCGGAGCGGTCGCTATGGCAACGCCACTGGGGCGGACGCTGCACCCCCCCTCGCATCGCCATGCGAGATCTCAAAAATCATAAAAAAGATCAATCATCTCTTACAAATCTAGCTATGTCATTCTTGAATTCATTCAAATCATGCTACCTGTATTGAGTTTGAGTATTCCATCTCTCTTCATCTATAAAACCTAGTAAATCAAGAAATTGATAAAATACAATTATGTTTAAGAGTTTAGTTAATTCATCTGCTGCTATTTCTTCAGTTGAGATATAATTAATTGAGATTATATCATTGTTCAACTGACTGCAGATGTAATGAAATCAGATATTAATATACTTACTTCTTACAGTGATTATAGTCACTGTAATAAGATTAATTATCTTTTTATTATTTATCTTAATTAGTAGAAAGTCTTCTGTTTCAATGAAGCTCAGATTTATTATTATACTTTTTAATTATATTACTTTATATTAGACTGGCCGGCAGAATCATGAATTTCACATTTGATCTTATTTAGTCTGATTTTATACATTTCTTGACATGAGTCTCATCAGAACCAAGTCTTAAAAAAATCTGAAAATAAATTATTTCTGAGAGAAATGATGTGAAAAATGACCAGATTTAATTCAAGAACAGTGAAATGAAAGTAATTTCTCAGAATAAACTGTGAAAGATGATTATTCTTTCAAAATCAGAATAAGACTGAAACTGAAGATTAAAATCAGTCTTATTCAATTCATTCAGTGATTGTTTATATAATCAGAATTTGATAATGATTATTGATAACACTTATGAAATAACTAAATACATTCTTGTACAAGTTTATTCTTCACTTTCTTATGAAAACTACACTTCTCTGATATACTGTGATCAGAGATATTAAACTGTCTGATAATTCTATATTTTATAATCATGAGTTTCTTGATTATTTCTTCTTATAATTGTCTCTGATAATAGTGATAAATATCTCAACTTGAGTTGAACTTTCACTTCATTCTCACCTCTGTCAATAAAATTGTCAGAATATCTGTAAGAGGCCTACACTGAATAGATTGATATTATATTGATAGGTCTTATATAACAAAGAGAAAAACATTAGAGAAGAAAAAGAAAGAGAAAGTGTAAGAATCAGCAATTGAAGTGAATATTTATACATGTATGTGATGGTGTACACAGTGAAGCTTCAGAGTGGAAGAATCTATACATATTCATAGCAGCTGAGAATCAGTAATTGAGAATGGCTGAGAATTGAGGTATACACATTTGAGAATGAAGTGATTGAAATCTGTGAAGTGTAACAGAATAGTCTATATAATTGATCAGGTGCAGCTCATCACATTAACCCTCTCTTTTCAGAAACAGTTCTTATCAGTCAAGAGCCTCTGTTTTGAATAATGCAGAACTCAGAGTTCAGGTCAGATGATCATATCTGACTCATTTCATGAGATATTGTCAGCTGCGGCTGTGAAGTCTCTCATCAAGAATATTCTCAATCTCTCACTCAAGCTCATTATCTTCTTCTATGATACCTGGTGGCTGTCAGTTGAAAGTCAGTTGAGAAGGAAACAGGTCAGTGACAGTGCAGCAGAGCAAGCTTGTGTGAAAGACATCATGAATCTCTGATAGTGTGTTAAGACAGTAGTTGTGACTATCTAGAACTTCTATCACTTTATACTTGACATGGCAGTAATCCAGCATACAAGATGAATATGTAGTTTATATATTCTTAAGATTCAATCATATCAGATCTTCTATCTTATATTGTTCAGTGAGGTCTTGATAAACATTGATTTGATCTTCTTAATTCTGTTTAGCACTTGCCATGAAGACTTCTGCTCAATCACAGATATCTCAGAGTTTTATTACTATATTATCAGTGATCTGAATCAGACTGCAGAGATTTGATATGAAATGTGTGATTTCTAGAAGATTCAGTACTTTTATATGATATTCATGTGTGAGAAAGAATGAGCTTATATCTATTAAAACAGCATCTTAATCATTGATAGCAATCTCTGTATGTAGAAGAAGATCATGTCAATCATCTTATAAGTGATTGCAGAACTTATAAAGATAATTCTTCACAGTCTGAATTATCTGCTCTGATGCATCATTAGTCTCAGAGTGATAGACAGTTGACAGACAGTGTGTAATCTTGAGAACTTGACAGATTCTTGTTCAGAGAGTACTCACAAATTGACAGTCTTAATCTGATACTATAGATCTCAGTAATTCATGCATCTGATAGAATAAGCTCTGTAGAAAAGCTTCAGTGACTTGTTCAGTATTCATTTTATTACAAGGTTTCAATATTACATCTTTACTCAATTGATTCACAATGACCAGAATGTTTCTACAACTCTTACTCTCAGAGAGATTGATAGTGAAGTTAATTATCACATCTCACCAGATTCTATCAGAGATATTGAGTGATTTCAGCAGATCTTTTCTACAGTTCTTCTATAAGATGATAGAAGAACAATGATTACAGTTTCAGATGAAGTGTCTGATACTGTTTAATATCTCAGACTAGTAGAATTCTCAGAAGATCATTCTATACAGTTATTCACAGCCTGAATAATCAGTTATATACAAATCATGCATCTCTTGCATTATCTGAGTGTGTAAGAATTTGAAGTGAGAGACTCAGCATCATTTATGAAATTGTAGAATATTATTGTCATCAATTGAATATTCTGAGATGTCAGTTTTTATACATAGTTCTGAAGAGAATTGAGATGCTTCTTGATATACTGCTTTGATAAGTGCTTGAAGAAGTTCATCAGTTTGAGCTGTTATATATCATAATTCATCTAGTGTAGGTTCAGAAGAAGTTGAGATATTAATGTCAGTGTCAGTGTCAGTTCAGAGAGAGAGTGTTCTAATTAAAGAAGCATGTATAGTGTTATGAGTTGTTTCATCTTGATCAACTAATATCTTCAGATCTAGAAGTCAGTGTTCTTGATTTATTCAATGAGTATCTGCTACATCAGAAGGCATATCTTGCTCTTATTATAAGAGAGCATCTGTCATTGAGTTCTGGCTGCTGGGATAATAGTGTATTATAAAATGAAAGCAGCTTAAGAACTCAGATCATCATATCTGTCATTCAGTGAGTTTATAAGTAGTTGTGAAGTATTTGAGATTCTTATAATCTGTGATTATCTCAAATTTGAAGACACTTCAGAGTTCAGAGTTTCATTCTTCTAAACAGTGTATGATCACAAGAAGTTCCTTGTTATAGATCTCATAATTGCATTCAGCAGGACTCAGTTTCTTAGATATGAAGACATATGATCATAGAATATCTTCATCATTATATTGCAATATCACTTCTCCTGTTATATAGCTAGAGAAATCAGCCTTAACAACTGTCTTGTGATCAGAATCAAATGTTATCAGCAGAGAGGTATTAATAAACATCTTCTTCATCTATATAAATGCAGCTTCAGCATTCACTGATCATTGAAATACTGAGTCTTTCTTAGTGAGATCTGTAAGTGATCTCATGATATCTGAGAAGTTTTATATAAATCACTGATAGAAGTTAGCAAATTCAATGAAGCTTTATACATCTTTCACAGTACATGAAGCTTTTTAACTCTTAACTTCAAAATCACACTTGTCAATATCAATTGATAGTTCTGCTTCTCATAGTCATTGTAATACTCTTCATACATGCTCTTGATACTCTTTTCTGAATTCATCAGTGAAGATGAGAATATCATCTAAATAAGCAGATACAAACTTATCAAGAAAATCTCAGAG